GCCACCGCGACCAGCCAGACGAGCATGATGTGCACGTAGCAGGGGGAACCCGCCCATAGCTAGTCGGGGTCGGCCAACGCCAGGCCAAAGGCGCCGTGCGGCAACACCCAGGCACGCGAGCTGGCTAGTGGCAACACCCGGCCATGGCCAGAGCCCGGCGCCAGCAGCGCCCACACGCGCGGTGACCACGAACTCTGGTCGAGCGACAACAATGGTGTTGTGCACGAATTTTAAAGCGAAGCAAGGGCTGCGAATGACCACGATTGAGGTTCAAGCAATCCCTCTAACCTAAAGCCAGCAACACCAGCTATCTAATGGAGCAATCACCACGACCAGAGAGCAACTAGACAGGGAGGTAAAAGAATGCCAACATGAGTTCGCCACGCTGAACGCCAGTTCACGAACCGAGCACCACATCATGGTTCACAGCGCGTTCTAATGAAGTTGGGCTATTTTTACGAGGGCAATCGTGACTCCCAACACCACCACAACCTACGCCGTTACTCACAATAGGTTTATTATAATTACTCTCATGATAAAATGATGAAAGGAAAAATTGAGACCGGGCAGGGATATGGTACAAATATTGGTGGGTGTAACAGGTTGAGTCCCCGCGGACAACAGGGCATAGCTTGGTTACACTGTTTTCCCTATCCATATCGATTGAGAACCGTCCATTGTTGTGGATGGTAGTCAGGTCACAGACTTATTATCCTGAGCACATACTTACTTATGGGAGCGGGAAGGCTCGTTACGCTCTTGTTATGGGTTCCGGCTCTTTCCGGGCCGACTGATTGGAGATGGGGAAAGGTGGAGATCTAAGCACCATATTGAGACCGGGTCTCAAGTGTGGGGGCTTAGAGTCCAAGTTTGGACGGGGACCAGGACGCCGTGACATGAGTGGAATGGGTTGGTCTTGCTTGTGCCTGGGGCGCAAGTGGGGCGTGTTTTCGGGGTACCCAGCTAGGATACATTGGTTCGTGAATCACCGTTTTCGTGAGACAATATGACTTGGCTATGGTCTAGCACCGTAGTAAGAACTGAAAGATGAAAGATGGTAAATTGGTTCTAGTTGCTCAACCTTTGCTTGAAAGTAGAACAAGTGCTTACCTACAATGGTTAGCTAATGAAGTAATCATGACTGCTAATTAAACTTGATCTTAAGAATGTACTTCTAGTAATGCTTTTCGCAAATAAAAAAACAACAAACCCATATTGCCTATCATACCCCTTGGAGTCAGAAAACTATTCCCACTAGTCGGGTAAGTCTTGCGAGTATATTGTGTACTCAGGGTTTATTTTACCCTATTGTAGGTGCAGCTTGAGGAGTATCTCTTGTGTGGAGGATTCTTCTGGTGGACACAGATGGATCCTTGTATCATTTCTGCTAGATGTTTATTTTAAATCCCGCTGTTTAATTATCGCACTCTGAACTCTGGTATTGTAATAAATAATTTTCAAGAACTCTTGTTGTATGAAATGGAGTAAGTATTGTAAGTTCGTACTCATTATTGGATTCTGGATGTAAAACGTGGATTGTTTCGAGTTCTCCTATGGGGTGTGCTCGACGGAACTGTCCGATGTAGCTAACTTTCGGGGTGCTTAGTGTCTAGTGGAAGACGAGCGCCCCCGAAAACGTGTTATTTCAGACGGTTCCGCCACAACTCAATTCTTCACAACATGGATCACAAGAGGACAATAATGACCCAAAGTAAGTCATGGTGTACTTCTATTTATTTCTAGATCTATAGCCATTGCAAATTTAGAGATCATGTTTTTTCTCTTTTTAGTGCAAGTGCTACTATGAGGGGAAGGGGAAGAGGAAGGGAAGAGGAAGACAGTCAGGAGAGGACAACAATGACCCAATGTAAGTCATGGTTTTATTGGTGTCCACTTCTACTTATTGCATGCTTTGATCATAGCTAATTTTGAAATCATGTTTCTTCTCTTTTTAGTGCAAGTGCTACTGGTAGGGGAAGGGGAAGAGAATCAGGAGAGGGCAACAGTGAGCCAATGTAAGTTATGTTTGTAGGTGTATTTATTTATTGACGGAATCATTACTAACTAACCTGGTCAATGCTTTTCAGAGGGAGTGGAAGAGGAGGGCGAACATGAGGAAGGCTAGCTAGTTCATTAGGTCTCTAGGTGGTCCTTGAATGAGATGCTTGTAACTTTTGTGCACATGTTTACATGGTGTAGACTTGTTTTTTTTTGACATGTTGACGCATACTAGTTGCTTTTGTGGATATGGTGACATGGTGTAGACTTGTAGCTTTTGTGGACACGTTGACATGCTGTATGGGAGACTTTGAAATGTTGGTTCTCCATGATTTTTCTCATGTGTTATATATGTGCTTCATATTGTTGTCATGATACTACCAAAATATTGGAAAGGTGCTGCTAAAATTTTAAATATTTTTTAATAATAAATCTGAGTTGAAATCATTGCAAGTTATGCCAAATATATTTGACCAAATTTATTCATTTGTGTCAGCATACAACAAAAAAATTCTAATTTCAAATTAGGGGTAAAATCATAAATAGGCATAACAAATATGGGCAAAATCACATGGGTGTTTCTGTATTTTGTATAAAATTTAACATCGTTAAAGGACGATGACGGAGTAGGGGCAAACTTGCTCTTCGTTTAGAAATTATAGGGCTAAATTCACAAAGTAAAAAAAACAGGGATAAAATCACAATTTAGTGCAAGTGCTATTATGGCGAAGGGCGGCGGCGGTGCCGTTAGGGGCGAAAAGGCCAAAGGAGGATGCGGCGCTGCTGCTGGGCTTAGCTCGATGTAGTAGCCACCGAGCCAGCGCATTGCTGCTTGCATTGCGCTGCGGCTTGGCCGTTGTGAAAAGCGTGCCGACCATGGAGCCAAGACCCGCCTCTTTCCTTCGCTGGTCACGACGGGCCACGCTACTTGGCCGGCGCCGACGCTGCTTTTCCCGCCGCCACCGCCACAAGCGGGCCGCCATTACCGCATAAGCATTAGCGGAGAGGGACGACCCCGAGAGAGACGATCGAGAGATAAGGGGTAAGTTTGTCTTTTCACAGGGCTTTTGTTAATTTTTAATTGCTTTGATCTGAATGTAGATAACTGAGTTAAGAATTAGGGTAAACGGAGCCTTCGTTTTGAAAAAGTAGGGGTAAAAACACAAAGTGAAAGAAAGTGGGGGTAAAATCACAATTGGGGTTTGAAATAGGGGCAAAACATAATATTTGGAAGGGTAAACTTGTCATCCATCAACTTTTTTAACACCGTTACCTGCTGTTCACGGAGTATGGGTAAACTAAACATTCGTTTTGGAAAAGCAGGGATAAAAATACAAAGTGAAAGAAAATGAAGGTAAAATCACAATTGAGGTTCAAAATAGGGACAAGAACGCAATATCCCCTAAATTTTTTGAAGGCTCCTCGCGTGGGCAACATATCATATGCAAACCAACCAACCTGTGTAAATTTAAAAACTATCGATCATGATCACTAAATGCTGATCCAATGGATAAGTGAGAGATGAGATTTTTTTTGTTTAAGCCCCTTATTCGTCGATCTTTTTCTTTTACGCTTAAGCCCTCTCACTTTATAGTTTCGTACAGTTTAGTTTACACTGATATGCTGCCCCTCATGTGGTCCACAGCCGCAGCTCTGAAGCCTGTTTATTTGGCTGTGGCTTATCGTAAACGATCGTAAATTTTTAGTCGGAATAGTATTTTTCTCTCACACAAACAAGTCAACAGATTTCTTCTTCTTAACCAAAGAACGAACCAAACGAAACCAACCAACAACCGGTCGTGTGGAAGATGAAGGATTTCTTCCTCGCCAAAATGGGGTAAAATCACAATTAACTAGGGGTTCAGATCGTTAATGAAGAAGTATTCTTGGCTAAGCCTTTTTTAGTTCCACCCCAAAATCCTAAAATTTAGGGTGAATGTTTGATTAGATGGTTAAATGTAAAAAAAAACCTCAGGGGGGAAATTGCGAGATTAACGTTTTGAGTCTAATTAGTCCATGTTTGAACACTAATTACTAAATAAAACGAACGTGTTACCGTGCCAAATTCCCTGGGGTGCTTTATGTGAAATTTTTCCTTTCCCGATCGTATATGACGAGACTTTCCCGGTTTCCCCCAACGGCCCAACACTTCCCTCTTCTTCCTCGCACTGCCTTCGCCTCGGAGCGCGGCTCCGCCTCTGCCATCTCCGCGCTCCGAGCCCGCTTCGACTCTTCGAGCTCCACTCCGTGAGCCACATTGCTCTATCTCTCCCATCCTTGAGCCCGTCATCCCCATTCTAGATTCCAGCTTCTCTCCGTCTCCGTCTAGATCTAGGCGGTGGATGCAGTCTGCCGTGATGTGAAGGAGGAGCCTATCGACCAAGTTCCAACTGAGGATCATTTACTTCCGAGCTCCGATGTCGGAATGGGCAGAATCCTGTGTCTCGGAGGTCGGATGCCGCACACTGGTGGAGCTTGGGTACATGCCGGGGAAGCCATTGATTGGATGGCGGCCGGCGTTCGGCGAAGCGGTCCCGAAGCCGCGCACCGGTGAGACCGTGGTCTTCGCGGACTTCTTCGAGCGTGGGTTCTCGGTGCCGACGCACCCGTTCTTCCGCCGTCTCCTCGGTTACTACGGCCTGCAGCTTCACCACTTGAACCCTAACGGTATACTCCACATCTCAATCTTCATCACTCTCTGCGAGGCGTACCTGGGAATCGAGCCGCACTTCGGGTTGTGGAAATGGCTATATTGTGTGAGGCCAGTAAGCAAGCGAGATCCCAACAACGGCAACAACACCTGTGCTTGCGCGATTGGAGGAGCCTGCATCCAGCTTCGTCCGAAGACGCAATACGTCTCCATTCCGCTGCGGACATCCAACAAAGGATGGCAGTCGAGGTGGTTTTACTGCCGCAACGAGAAGCCGTCGCTGCCTGACTTCGTTGCTAGCCATTGCCCTGTTAAGCTGCCGTCGTGGAGTAATCCCCCCGCTGCAGACGAGATGGCCGAGGTGGGGAAGATCATCCCACACTTCAATGGCTTGATCCGAAATGGGCTCGACGGAGCCCAGTTGGTCGTTACTTTCGTGTGTCGTCGGATCCAACCGATTAAGAAGAGGTGCCATCGGATGTCTGAGTTCACAGGTATTTCTGACCCGACACGAGAGAGGTCGATAAAGTTGACTGAAGATGATATTCTTTCCCGGGTGGCCCAGCTCGTGTCAACTGATACTAACATTTGCACTAATGGCAAGCCACTTCCGTGTCATCACAAACGACCGCCGGAAAATGTAAGTGTTCCTTTTCTCTTGAGTTTTTCTTATAAGCTGTTGAATCATTAATGGTAATTGATTGATGCTCTTGTTACAGGACCTGAGCAAGTACCTTTCCACGACTCTGGAGGAAGACGAAGAGGGAGTAGACACGCCACAGGCGACGGTCGGCGCCACCATAGTCAGCCAGCCCCCTCTGAAGAAACCGAGGACCCTTGGTGCCGGCTCCTCTGGGGAGTTGGTCCAACAGAAGGGCAATGAAGTTGTGGCCCGCTCCTGCAGTGAGCTGGCACAACAGAGAGAGTCTGGCAACAGTGCGCCAATTGCCCAGCCGGCGCCTGACGTTGGGGACACGGAGACCATGTCCCATTGGAAGAAGAGAAAGTCCGATGAGGCCCTCGCCTGCTCCACCCCAGACCTGGGGCTGCAAGATCTGTCATCTCTTGGTAGGGTGGCGATTTTTAAGAGGGAGTAAGTGCCGAGTCATCTTCCATTGTCCTTAGTTTACGCCTTGCTGTTTGAACGCTTAAATCCTTTTGTGCTGCAGGGAGAAGTTGTCCAAGGATGTTATGTCACCCTGTCTGTTGCTGCACTCCAGTGCCTCGCCAACCACGGAAGTAAGCACCTCTGCCAGCAGGGAGGCAGCAGATCTGACTGCCCCACACCGTGAGGAGATGCCAGACAACGAGTCCGTGCCCCTGTTGCCTCCACAGGCAGCCTCTCCGTCTCCGACACCTCTATCGGAGCCACGTTCACTCCAGTCACCGCCAGCATGTCAATCTCCTCCTACTACAACACTGTCCGCCTTGACTGTTCCCGAGTCAATCGAGATGACGCATGTGCCTTGCCGGCCTCTCCCATGTGACAACCTGGGGTCCAGTCAGCAGTCCGTTGGGTTCGCTACTGACTCCGTTGAAGTGGAGGGAGAGGTACACGGGAAGAAGGCCCAGGAGGGAGGAGGAGCCAGGGATGCTCTATGTCCAGATGAAGGACATGGAGAGCAACCTGTTATGGGAGATCAATGATGAGATGGAGCGTGTCGAGGTCGATTGGGAGAAGGTCAAGGAGGCCACGACGTTCTTCGAGACTAGACTCACTGAAATCACTCTCAAGTTCAAACGTGCCTCCGAGCTGATAGTTAAATTAAAGCAGGAGAACAAGGAGCTGGAAGTTAAATTGAAGCAGGAGAACAAGGAGCTGGAGGTTAAATTGAAGCAGGAGAACAAGAATCTGGAGGTTAAATTGAAGCAGGAGAACAAGGAGCTGGAGGTTAAATTGAAGCAGGAGAACGAGGTCGCTCGAGGTAAATTAAATTTCTTCTGATCTCCGGAATTATTTTTAATTCAGATATGTTATGGGTTGTAATCTGGTTCGAATTCTTGTAGCTTTTGAGAAGAAGGCCAGTGATCTGTCTAAGGAGCTTGACATTGTGCGCGTGGATCGTGATTCCCTCAGCCGGAGGTTCCAGGATGCCAAGAAGAAAGCTGCTGGTAAGCCCATGACTTATTCTCAGCACTTGTATCTCGCTTTATTTATCATCTTGATCGATGTAGCACGAGCTATTTGTGTGATTACAGACTTGTGTGATGCCTTCAATGCTCCCTGCAACAAGTTCTCGATTGACAATTCGACCCCGGACAGTGTTGAGGTTGTCACCGAGCGACTGGGTAACTTCCCGACTGAGCTGACAGATGAAGCAGTAGCAGCAGCAGCTGATGGGGGGCACTGCCGCATCGGGATGCAGTTAGCGCTTGCAACAAGAGGTTGACGACCTCATGGTGCAGTTGCAGGCAAGGCCGGCAGGCAGAACTTTTGGAAACTAGGTCTGTATTACCTAATCGTGGTCAATGCACCTGTAATATATACTCTTTTGAAGTACTCAGGAGATGAGTAAGAGTTAATTATGTATATATTTAGGGCCTTTTTGATCCATTAGCTGCTAATAGTTAGCAAGCTAATTAATAGCTCATAGCTAATATTAGCTAGCGACCTATTAGCTGGTTTGGCCCAACTAGTAAGATAGTTGTTAGTTGTGTATTAGCTAGAAATTAGCTTGACTATTAACTGGACCTGTTTGATCCTAAAGAGCTAATTATTAGTTGCTAACTAATAGCTATATGAATGCAAACAGGCGTTTTCATGTTTCAGTTCATTGATCTTCATTTTTTTTCTATGTTTTTATGGAATTTGTGCTTCCTATGTTTTTATGGACTTTGTACGTACCCTCGGTTCTTGGGACCGTCTTCATAAAGTCTTAGATCCATGACAGTACTCTGAGATTACAGTGATGGTGAAGGTCCTTAGTCAAAAGGGTACTCCCCATCCCTGAGTGACCTGTTATAGTTGGGAGCAAGCAAAGGAAGCTGAGTGGCAACTGGCAATGGGGTTAACAATGCGGCCATGAGACTGAGAGTATTTTGTATCCCTCCATACTCAACCTTATCCATAATTTTGTTTTAGATCCGTGCAATACGGTTTCTATATCATATAATAAACATCAATTTTAGACTAAACATTTTTGCAAAACGTCCTAATGTCTTTTCTATTAATCTGTTTGTCAACAAGAACATAAAAAACAAACAAAATGTTGTACACATACTCTGTATTTCTTATTTTACATCCAGATATGCCAGCTCACTTCCTCAATTCAAAAAATAAAGAAGAATAACTGTGATTAGTTCGATAGACAATCGGTCGCTAGTGACAATCGACAACATCATCCTAGTAAAATGTAGAACTGTTCATTGGTGAAGCATGTCTACTGTAAGCTGCAAAAGCAAACCTGTTACATATACTTCGAGCCAATTAATTTAGAACTGAAAGACAGGGAGCCAATAAGAAGGGAATGTACCTTATACTGAGTACTATAAGGTGCGAATTCATTCCATCGCTCGGCATACAAGCTCTAGGCCTTAGTAGCACTACCTATCGACTTCAGCTTCTGCACTTGCAGAGTCGTTGCATGAACATAGCAGGCTGAATTTCAGCAGTCCAGTGGAAAGATTTGATGAAAATGAAAATAGTAGAACCTTGAAGAGAAATTGAGTTTTTACCGAAATAAATTGTGGAGGATCATCGATGCTAGAAGAGCCCAAGACGATTTCACGCTTCATTTTCATTGTAAGCTTGTGCACCGTGCGCAACTGATTCATTGGGGTATGAAATGATAAATATTTATAATATGCCAACCAGATTGGGAATTTGTATTTTTTTATGTAGTATAAGCACAAGACGTACTTCAGATCTAGTAGCTCCACCAACCATGAAGACAAAAATCCGGTTGCCTAGCCTCTTGAAGTCACCTGATGCGTGTCTCAGGACTGAAGAATCACTGTCAATCCAATTTACCATGATAATAAAGCGGTTATTTGACCAAAACAATATATGTAAATGGATTTCATATTGCTCGAGCAGGTCCAATAGAAGATTATGTCCAATTATTACCTTGATTGAGAATCATCGGAATTTCGAGATTTTGCCCATGTTGGTGTCCGCCTTGATCTCATAGACATTGGTTGTGGATTTTGTGCTGGTCGTGCAGTTGATGATGCAGTTTGTGTGGCACCTTGAGGAGCAGAACTTGGTTCACTCATAGATGGGTACTCTTTTAAAGGTAATTCGCCCTTGCTCAGTTTCTCAATCAGCTCCTGTTAGTGAAGCAAGGAACTCCAACTATTACAACTGATAGCTCAGCATGTAACCAAAATTTAGAAGAAAACCCATGCAAGCAACAAGTAAAGAAGAGCACATGTCCTTGAAAGAAATTCTCAAGAACAAGGACTAAATACTTGGCCATAAACTAAAAAATTAGCTTCATTTTGTTTCAGCAATTGTAAGCAATTCTTGATGTAAATCGGTAAGGATTGTAGACAAGGAAAGATAAGTAATCACGTGCCTCAATAAGCGGGAAAAAACGTGATAAAGTCCATGTTTCCTCACCATCATGTTTGTCTGTTCTGGCAGCATTTTTCTTCTGCAACAAAAAAAATGTTAATAGACAGGAAGGTTGTATAAAGTATGTTTTTCAAACAAAGTCATGACTTCACCTTTGTACAGAAAAAACATAAGCTTACCTTTTGGGCATCAAATTTGAGAGAGAAAGTACCAGTCCTTGATGACTTTTTTGTATTTGAACCATCCAAGTATCTTAAACAGTTTATTACATCCATATCATCATGTGGAAGCTTCGCTAGCTGCGTATCAATAAGTTGGCGCTGTATCATTTAGCTATGACATAGCATAACATGAAAATTTTCAACAGAAAATTAGATATAATACTTCTATAAATTTTCAATAAAGATCTAAATGATAGAATAAGCTTCGCTCATGTGCACCTTCCATTATTGCAAAGTCAAGTTAATAGTCTCTATAAGGGCCCTAGTATGGTCCAACATAGGTTTACGTCAATCTAGATTGTGGAGGTTAATCTAGAAGACAGATTTACTAATCTAGGAGAGGCGTGGGGGAGTTTTGTAAGAGCCATCAACTAGGAAAATATAAGCCACCTTCTAGATATTTAGAGCCCGTTTGGAGGGGCTTCTCCCGGCACCGGCACTGTAGCACTACTGTGGCGGAGCCGGGAGAAGCTCCAAATGTGCTGCTCCTCCAGCTCTTCTTCTTTCTAGTTCATTTTTGGAGGAGCCGGAGCCTTTTTTTGATATGCTACAGTAAAAACAGTGTTGCACAGTGTCTTGGGAGTAGGAGCCGGAGCACCAAGAGCCGCACCAAACGCGGCCTTAGTCTCGGACTCCACTTTATATGCCCATGCTCATAATTAGTGTAAGAAGAGTTTTACTTCCTCTGTGATTGTATATTTTTGTATCTGGAACTAGGCCTGCATTATTGATGCCATCATTGTACTGCATATAAGCAATGAAAAATTTGATGTGAAATACCTGCATCAACTTTTCCCCTTTGTCACCTTCAAACTTCTCTGGATATACGATTGCATATATAATCAGCAACCTCATTTTGTTTTCTGGACTCATATCCTTAATAATGGAACAAGCATGTCAAGCAAAGAACAAAATCAAAATGACAGCAACTTAGCAGCAAGCCTGTTTTTTGTTTCTCTTTCTGTACAAACCTGCTTTGACCTGAGGATACTGATCACTTCCTTTGCTCCCGCATCTCCAAAAACCAAATCCTGCTCCAGTTGCCCAATGTCACGGAGCCCGTACTCCTTGATACACCTGTTAATTTTTCCAGCAATCTGAACAAGAGATTGATCGAAAGTTTTAGAACTTATCATTTAAAATTAGAGTTGAGGCAAAGGGATTGTTCAAAGGTAAGACACAGAACCATATGCTGCAAAAACTAAATATAAAATATATTAATGTGAAACAAGTGTCTTAAACAACAATTGCTTGCTTTGAACCATATGCTAGGCTTAGCTAGGTGAGTAAAGCATTGAAAATGTAAAACGAATGATAATGGCATTTCTTTTATCATTTATATAAATAATGTATTTACCTACTGAGGCCACAATCTGGTTACATGGATGGAATCTATTGCATGAGATGTGGACCATCTTTTAGTGTCCCTTAATAAATTATCTACCAGAATATAATATATTTTACTGATAATATAATATTTTCCTTTTGCGTCAACATGAAAGTTCTTGTAAACTTATAAATATAGGAAATATTACCTTATGACTTTTTTTTTTTTTGAAAACGCAGGAGAGCTGTGTTGGGGACCAGATATGAGTGAGGCAATTACACAGCCTCATGGTTCAAACACATAGTGGACCTTATGACTTGTGAATACAAAAATTAAACATGACAACATAAAACATGTAGACAGATATTATTAAAACGATCATCTACCTCTATATGTAGTGTCAATTTTTCAACTTGCTCACTGTATTGCGGTAATGCTTGAACGATTTTCTGCAGATCCCTTGTTGAGACTTCACCACCATCTCTAGTTGAAAATGGAAACATCACAATCTTTATTATGAAATATAATACATCATGTGATCTAACATCACTACCAAATACCGCGCCACTAGCAACTGATAGACCTATATTAAATTACAAACTAAGACTATTTTAGTACCACTTGTCTTAGAAAAGTGTAATTCAGGTCCAAACAAAATAAGTTATCCAAGTGATGAATATACAATCATATGTGAACTTTTCATAATTGTGTCACAGATAAATATCTAGCACAAGGGGTATCTGGGTATGCAAAAGGTGAAGTACAATATGAATGCCATCATCAGCCTAGAACTGTGAAAAGTACCAGTAATTCATAGTTGAAAAGCATATTCTTGATTACGGTACTGCAATACACCATGGATTAAAAATATATTTGCAATTACATTCAAAAGTGAGAAAGGTTATGCACCTTGAAAGTTGTGCTGCTTTATTCTTGGCAACAAAATTATTCATCTTTTCATACAACCTCTCACTAGCCTGTCATTTTAATTAGTGTTAGGAATAATAGATCAGAATAAAGTTAAGAAATCAGAATACACAAATATAATACATTGAACTTACATCAGCTATGTGAGCATGGCGAAGTTCAAGCCAAAGAGGATCATGATCCTCTAATAAAGATTCCTTCTTTTCGGGTTCCGAATCCATCTTTGACACCTTGCAATATAAAATAACACTAACATATAAGAAAACTAAAGAGAATTTGTATCTCACTAATAATATGATATGGCAATTACCTCATATATGTATTTGTTGCCATCCATTTCGAGTAGATCATGGCACATTGCATCATAGGTCCATTCATGAATAACAGGTGCTATCTTTGCAGTCATATGAAATTGTTGTAAGCTGTAATGAATAAATTGAAGTTCTTTGCTGTATTTTTAAGTGAACAAATGATTAAAGTGTTTTAGCATTCAGTGTATGCTTTAGCACCTGATCTATGGGCCTGTCGACAATTAGCAGTTCACATGTCTCCTTCTGGGGAAATTCAGGAATAGTTGATTTATATTTTGACAAGATATCCCAAACAGCAGTAGCAAGCCACTTTGGAACCATATCAAATTTAGTTGTTGTAGAAGCATCTCCTTTTGGCGCCTGATACCGTACACATGGAAATTCCTGCAAAGTAGTCAAATCAACTTTCATGTTCAATGAGAAAAAGAGAGTAATAAGACTATACTTTATTCATAGATAAGGCAATAGAGGCTAAACACCAACCTAGTTCTATCGCTAACTAAGACAGGAGATATTCATAGCTGCTCAGCATCTATAGTTAGCATTGTAGCTTATACTCTCAAAATGGTTGCCAAAACCATGTATTCCTACTTCATAGTTGCTCTTAATATATTTATATCAAGGTTCTAACCTCCATCTAGGGTTACAAAAGGGTGTTTGGGTGTGTTGTAACTCTCTTCTTCTTTTAATGCAATGATACGCAGCTCTCTTGCGTGTTCAAGAAAAGAAAGTTCAACTAGGGTATGCTGATGTAATATTAATTCAAAACACATTCTTTTGTGTATGCATAAATTACAAGTGAGGGGTTTTTATTTTGAAACGGCTAAGTGAGGGTTTTTGGGTTCGCGCTTCTGGAGTGTAATGATCCAATCCAACACGAGGTGATGGCCCAGGTAAATTGTAATGCAGATCAAGCAAAAAAACGTGCAGGTGCTTATCAAGATCTAGGAAATGAGCACATATCAAAATGGCAGCATCCCACTGGCTAACATGTTCATCAGTATAGAATCAAACAAGTAGGAATGCTATGAACAATATACTCAGAATTTAGTGCCTTTTTTCTGATTTTTACACTGGTTTCCCTTTATGGAAGAGCTATAATACCTTAGCGTGACAAAACACATGGAAGTTTCTACTACTAATTAACTGTGGGCATGAATAGAGCATAGCAAATGAAGTTCGGCAACATACCTTCAATGATGCAAATGTAGTCGCAATGCGAGTAGCCATCGTGCTTATAGTATCGTTGAACTTTTTAGAATTTTGTTCACTCGGGCCATACAAATCATTCAGGGCCGTATCATGGTCAGTTACAAAGCCCTACATATATGGCATATAAAGTAAAGTACAATAATCATTGTATTATAGACAAAGAGCAAGACACAGTAACATGCAAATACAAGTGCACCCAACATGTTTAGTTACATTCATTTCCATGATTTTACTTTCAAGGACATTATGAATATGTACACCATCCTCATAAAGTTTTGAACCATTTAATTTTCATTCACAGTGCAAACACAGAAGCTCCAAAGTGTCTAACAAATCTAACGATGACATTGTTTCATGTCAGCATCCACTTGCTCTGTATAAACTATACAATGGTCACACCCTATGTACACTATTTTTGTTGAACATTGATACTTGATACTAACCCAAAATAAAGAAATAATAAAATCAGTTTATGGTACTTTTCTGAGGCAGCAACCAACAAAAGTGGAGACAAAATTCATAGATCTGACTGAAATGGAATAGATCAGAGGTTGAATACCTGCATGTCAATAGCGAAGAATTCCAAATTCATCTGCAATTAATGAAATAACAGCATTAGAAGGAACTTCTGCCAAAGCTCAAAATAGTGAAAGATACATTGTGAAGTAACTTGCCTCTCTTAGTGCACCGATGCGTGGTATTACACTACTGTCATTCTTTATGTAAGTTACCAATTCTTTAGGAATCGGTGAGCTGAAGAAGATATATGCCCTAGCGTTCGGAGTGAAATCATCAATGTGTTAGTAAATTTATTACATCTGAAGCTTTTGAAAATGATACTTTAGCTGCAAATTGAAATGACAATACAGACATACTTCCTGTAAAGTGGACATCTCCCAGACATGTCAGACAGAAGCATTATGACACTGCAGATTGCAAAATGTATGCATCACAGTATCAGAGAAGAGGCCTCAGGCCTTGTTTAGATCACCTCCAAATTCCAAGTTTTTTCACTCTCTCTCCATCACATCAATTTTTGGACGCATGCATGGAGCATTAAATGTAGGTAAAAAAATAACTAATTACACAGTTTGGTTGTAAATCACGAGATGGATCTTTTGAGCCTAGTTAGTCCATGATCGGACAAAGTTTGTCAAATACAAACGAAACGTGCTACAGTATCCAGGTTGCAAAAATTTGCAATCTAAACAAGGCCTCAATATGATATGGCGTATAAATGGACTACATGGAAAATTAGATAGCACCACAGAGGGTGGCTTTTGACCACATAGGTACTTTATCATTGGAGAACCAGCAAAAGCTGATGCCATGTGAACCCCACTGTTGATTCATATTGAGATGTTTAAAAGGCAAAAATCCAATATGACTAACGGAAAATATTAAACTCAAGAAGACAAAAGAAAAGGCCAAAGCTGTCAAAAATTACTTTTCTTTCAGTGGCTGAAGAAAGTAGATTGCATCCATTGAAGGCATTGGCTCCCTTCTCTTGAACAGATCTTCTACAACTGCAGGATATGACAATAAGCTTACTTAACTATCTTACTTCACAAACATAAGTCGAAAATAAGGTGTTATTGGCTGAAAAGAGTAAGATGCATCCCAAGTAAAAACAATAGGAAGAACATATAGTCACCACCACATGTTTTCATTATAAATGACAATTCATCAAGGTCCAGGCAACTTACGTGAAATCCCTGCATCAGTAATTTCTGCCATCTTGCAAGCATAAGCCATGATCTTCACCGTAAATTTGTCCATTATAAGAACCTGCAAATATGACAAATGAAAATCACATAACTGTTTCACTTCCCGACTCCTGATGACCAATGAAGCTTATTTAAATTAAAAGGGCTTAAACTGCTGAAGGGCCCTAGAATACCAATACCATGAGACGAGGTTACACATTGTGAGAAAGGATCATACATAATTCATAAACATTGCACAAAAAAATCCCAATATCCATGTTAAATGAAGATGGCACAAGTTCTCTTTTCAACCAATTCGTACGTCCTAATATACAATACAGTCTCTCAAAGTATGAATCTGCAGCGTTTTATTAAAAAGAAAAGATAGTAGGAAACGTAGCAGGAAAGAGAACATATGAAGCAGTAACAACAGAGTTTGCATAAATCAAGCTGTTTGTGTACGAACAACAACAAAAAATTACCTTCCATGAGCTTTTGGTCTCCGTATCCTTGTCAGGCTTGAGCAAGTCCTTCAGTATCCCTGAGGAAAACACAAACAACAGAGAAACTGAGCCGTCGAATCGTCAATTCGTCATGAAGAATAGAAGATGTGAGGAAGACTCGAGATCAGGAGCGCGCGCGTGGACGTACGGTCGCGGCAGATGTTGCGGAAGACCTTGGGGTCATCCGCCGGGGCGCCGAAGTCCACCGACATGCCGGGGCGCCGAAGTCCACCGACATCTCGACACCGCCGCCGACGAACCGCAGCGACCGATCGACGATCTCCGCACCTCCACAGCCACCACCAACGCCAGCAGCAGCAGCAGCACAAGCACCAGCACCTCCTCCTCCTCCGCCGCCGACGAACCGCAGCGACCGATCGACGATCTCCGCACCTCCACAGCCACCACCAACGCCAGCAGCAGCAGCAGCACAAGCACCAGCACCTCCTCCTCCTCCGCCGCCGCCTCTTGTCGCTCTCTCACTAGTCTATATCCTGATTTAGCCGGGGCCGGAAATGGCGATCGACGAGCGCCCGCAGTGGGTGCGTGCGTGCGCGCATGCCCGCGCGGTGGGGAGGGGTGGAGGAGGGGCGGCCGCGATTCCCGCTGGGAGGAGAGAGAGAGAGAGAGAGAGAGAGAGAGAGAGAGAGGAGGGCGACGATACTGGAGGACGCCATGGGCAGGCGCGCGCGCCTGTCTCGCTCGCCGACGGGAGAGGGAGGGAGTTGGCGTCTTGGCGAGTTGCAGCTTTGTTGCATGCACGTTGGGTCGGTAGTTGGCGCACCTGAAACTGCAAGCTTGGTGACTTCGGTGTTGTGCCAAATGTGGCCCATGCAAATTCAGCGTGAATTTGCAAGCTTGGTGTTGTCCCAAATATGTAGGCCATGCAAATTCAGCGTGGTTTTCCATTGCATCTGCAGTTTTGTTTATAATCTGTGACTGAGCACAACCAGCAATCTGATGCAGCTGGTGATGGTGAGACGAACACACCATCGCGTAATAACCAAATCTTAAAAACTCTGTTTATGTGCCTCTGCCAGCAGCAAGCATGCAAAACTATACAGAAGTAGAAGTATAGAACCATGTAAATAATTTCCAACTCAGCATGTCACTATACATTATCTCATAGGGCAGGTCACTATGACTTGTATCTGGAAAGAACGTGTAAGGTCGAGCATTCGGGCTAACACATTTTTTAAAGAAAATTCAACCACACTAGTTTTAAGGCCGCAAACAACTCCAGACTCGCCGAAAGCCCGAGCACTCATTATTTAACACTAATAACAATCTAACACTATGAACATGGAAATTGAGACCTCATCCCGAGCTGAAACGTCTCCAATCGTGTAGGACCGTAGGTGATTTACACATTGCTACTTGAGGCTTGCATCATGCCGTCGCGGATCTGCTCGCTGATGTCCTTCACGTGGCCCGGTCCGTGAGGTATGAAGATCGTGGTGTTCTTGGAACCATCCCCGAGCTCCTTGATGGTGTCAAAGTACTGCGTGATCATGATCAGGTCCATGACTTCCTTCGCGCTGGTGCCCGACACCGAGTGTGAGAAGTTCAGGATGTTCTCTCTGAGTCCGTCAGTTATCGCCTGCCGCTGTTTGGCGATACCAACACCGGAAAGGTATTTCGCCTCGGCTTCTGCCTCTGCTTTCTTCACCATAAGAATCTTCTCTGCTTCTCCTTTGTAAACACTTGCAAGCTGGAGCCTTTGGGCTGTGTGATAGGAGTTGACCACTTAAGTGAGCACAGATGCAAATGACAGAAAATGCTACTTCCTGGATATAAAAAATAAGGAAGCATGTCTACAGAAGATAGCATAAAACCACCAGAAAGTTTGATCTTAATAAGAACACTCCAGAGTTCAGTAAACATTTCACAAGCTGCATAACCTGGAGGCAATTCTCACATGTACAGAAATGGCATAATACCTGCATTTATATCATTCATTGCTTTGCGAACAGCAGCGTCAGGGATGATATCAACCATGAGAATGTGCTCAATGCTGTAACCATAATCTGCCATCACCTGTACAACAGCAAGAGTTTATTGAATTTGCCAGGAAAGACATAGAACAGCCATATGTAGTAGGGCATACAAGAAAAGGTAGAACATTGGATCACTCTGACATGACCTCAGACTACTAAACATTGCCAAAAAAATACAAAGGAAACAATGTGCTGAGGACAGAACAAAACAATAGCAATCAAATCGAACATAGGCTAAATATCAACCAGACAAGATTCTGATTTCATCGAAAACAAATATGGTGTCAAAACAGATAAGCATGTTGTTTGTCTATGAACCGTTTACTTGTCACACAACCAAGTTCATCAAATAGTTACAAAACTGTCCTTTTAATACACATGCTAAAACCAATACTTACTGGAAATAAAGAGGTCCACAGGCAACAAAACGGTATGTTTAGGATGTACTGAACCAAAGCTAAACTGTAGGGATACACATAGGGCAAACCAGGAAAACAAAAAAAGGGGCTGCAGTAATCACTAAACAGATTGCTAATCAGAAGCAGACTATAGGCAGAATGGTTAACTCCTTGAAATTATCACCAGGAGAATTGCAAGATGTGTCACCGGAGTTGCAAGCAGAATCAATGATTTCGAGCCAATCCCCTACTAGTATTCAAAACAGGCCTCTAAATTACCTTTTCAAGCTCCTCCAGTACAGCTTTCGCCACATCATTCTTCTGCTCAAAGAGATCGTCCAGATTCATTCTTGGCACTATGGCTCGAACAACTTTTTTTCATAAAAATACAAGTGTCAGATTATAATTAAGAGAAACAGTACAAAAACAAGAAAGTTCGGTGCTAATAATTCACCATCAAAGACGTAGGCCTGAATTTGCTGTTGGGGATTCTGCAACTCATAGAATGCATCATCTGCATTTTCCTTGACAACGCGGTATTGAATTGTGCAGATCAGCTGGACAAAGACGTTATCCTGCAAAGGAAAAGGATGCCACCAATTGTTTCAACTAGAAAACAAGCAAGAAGTACCATAGGCAAAGGATATTTCACGTCATCGCAAAGGAACTAGAGACAGATTCAGACCACCACATGGTGGGCAAGATGTTAATAGTGTTGTAAAGGCCATACTTGCAAATCGAGCAAAAAAATGGCTACTCAACAGCTGACCAATTTATACTACATAGAACAGGTAAAGTTCGCCTGTTGGATAATGCCCATCAACAATGCTCTTCCAGCATCACACGGTCGCGCACCAATCTACATGGAAAAGAGGGTACCGCTACTACTCCACTGACCATGAAGTAACTCCAATCCCCTTAATGAAGTAAGGGAGACACAAGTGGCGACGGTGTCCTGGACCAAACACAGATCCCCAATCCCAGCATGATGCAATCCCGCGCGATCGCAGCAATCAAGTCACCAATCTAGCACAGGGAGCGCTGACAAATCCGTCACCAAGCGAGATTTCCAAGAACGGGATACGGGCAATCCGGCTAGAAAGTGTGGAAACCAATCGCAGTCTACGCGCGATCGAGAAGGTAAACCTACTAGAGCAGGAGGGGATGAGGGGAAGGCCGAAGGCGGCGAGACGGACCTTGGTCTTGGTCTCGACGCGGACGTCGAGGGACTGGACGCGGGTGGTGAGGGCGCCCGCGACGCACTCGCCGGCGAAGGGGTTGAAGAAGTGGAGGCCCGGGTCGGCGAGGCGGAGGAAGCGGCCCCACTTCTCCACCACCGCCACGCTGGCCTGGTCCACGCACCCGCAGAAGAGGAAGAAGGCGTTCACCATCTCGCTCGGCCCTTGAGCGGCGTGAGAGCGGGGGATCCCTCCTCGATCTCGTGCCGGTGGTGGTGGCGGCGGCGGCAACGCTCCTGTGCCTGCCCGCGCAGCGTGTCCCCTTCTCCGCCCGCGGGTTTGGTTCACGACGCGACGCGACCTTGCGTGTGGGTGGGTGGACGCGTGGAAGGAGGAAAAGCATTTTGTTTTTCGAGCTCAAAACGGCTGGCACTGTCACGGCGGTGTCACGGATTATAGATTAGCACCAAGACCATATCCAAGAGCCTATAATTTCTCCTAAAAACATGTTGTTTTTCAACTTAAAAAAAGATTGGAAGTATTAAATGAAGCCATCTCTAAGAGTACCCAGTAATTCACTCCTAAAAATATATTCTAAAACCATATTCCAAGCGTTCAATGACAATTTCGTAAATACGGTCATCTTCTTCTTGAGAAGAAGCACATAAGCAGTCCTTGCGCGCCTGCGTCTGCACTGCAGGAGCCCACACCGCCAGGACCGCATGCACTGGTCGATCACGATGTCGCGCAGTATCTTGATGACGGTAAACAGTATACAGAGGACCAAAGTAACATCACCTGTTTGCCTAGGATTTTATTTTAGTCCAAAAACAAGAACAGTGTGCATGAGGGATTGAGCAAGCTGCACAAGATCACCGCATGTCGAAGTAGCCATCCGACCGGCGCCGGTCATCGTCGTCCTGCCGTGGAGGCAGCTCCCGCTTGACACGGCTGACCCTGGCGTCCCTGAACTCCACGGAGGGAGCCCTCGGGTCCTGTACACGATGTTGGGTATCATTTGGATCACCTGCTCCCTCATCGCTGCCACCATCGCCGGCGTGGCGATCCCGATCCTCGCGCCGCTCCACGCCAAGCGCTACAAAGACAACACTCACACCACCGGATCAGCGCTGTAGCCTTTGGTCGATCACGCCGCTGCAGCGGCAGCGTACACCGCCGCCGCCGCCGCGCCACGAACGCGAACATCCGATGGCCGCCGCTGCCGGAGAGTGTCCGCTGCCGGAGGCCACCTCGGCGCGCGCGGATGGGTGGAAGTGGTTGCACGGCAATGCCCAAGCAAACAAGAAAAAGCTCATCGCCCACGACCTTTGAGCCTGCAGGGCTGAGACTCGAGCACGAGCGCCGTCATGTTCATCGCCTCCGGGAGGAAGAGCAGGTGTGCGGGACTCTCCTCTTTGCCGCGCGAGAGAGAACATCGGCGCGACCCGGAGGGATACGCCCGACGGGAGAGCGCGGATCTTTACGTGCATTGAGTCATTTTTTAACGAGTTCTAAAAGATTAGGAGCTGGTATTAGTAACTGTTGGAGACATATTTTTTAGTTTTTCCAAAATTCAAAGAATTGGGAGAGTATTTTAGAAACTCTTGGAGATGCTCTCACCGGCAAATCTCCATCGCTCTCCGGTGCATGAGAAATGAACCTGTGTGGTTAAAACAGGGTAGAACTACAACTACATAGGGCTCAAGTTGAGGGAATTGCAAAGTTGCAATGTGCAATGCAATTCTCTCTCAAAACGGAACGGAAGTCTGCTTTGTATGTGTAATTTCAACCTTAAAAAAACAGTGCATGCCTTGTTTAGAATGGTGGAACCATGTAATACTAGGTCGCCAGTGGATTTGGTTGTTCCTGGTACCTTTTGGATTACGAGAGAACACCTACGCTACAATTCCACTTTTGACAAGTAATAATAACTTGGAATGGTGTATAAAACTTAGAATGGTGTAATGAACTTTAAATCGAATGCTCTACGTCGTAGGGTCAAGTCAAGGACAGCATACAGCACTAGTGTCTCTGAAGTTTGGTCAAACTTCTCTAGTTCTCCAGATTATACCACATATTATGTCATATATGGCATTAGCGGCACCAAGAAAAAAAAAAAAACAAATGTTCATAATATTCCTAAACAAATTTGATCTTCACCGCGACCCGCCGGTGCGTGCCAGTACGAGCCTGCTAGCTGCGGCTGACATCTAAGGCAGACACGGCACAGCGAAGGACATCTAGACGGACACGGCACAGCGAAGCGCTCGATGTGCCGGGGCCATGTGGATAAGAAAGAGATGATAAGCACAACGGTATGAAAACACCGAAAATAGTCGGAAACAGGAAAAGCAACAGCAGCGATAATGCAGCAGCAAGGAAGCAAGCAAACAAGAAACAGCTCAGTTTTGACATACCGAAGCACCAAACGACCTTAGAGCCTGCCAGAGGGCCCGGGGGCAAGCATAAAACACGGCAACCAGGAATTTTGCAACTTCCAATCCATTATTATCCAGCACAAGCATCGAAGACGATGGATAGCCTTACAGTAACCTTACTGTAATACAAACTTTTTCAGAACACAATTGGAAAGTTCACTCAAAACATGTTCTTAGACTCAAAAGGGACATGCAGATTCCTTATCACGCAGCTCCATTCTGCTACTCTGCTTTACTTGTGCTTTGGATCAAATACTCCATCTGCATTATTACAAAACAAATGTGTCAGTCCTTCAATACATGGACAAAAAAGAAAATGTTAACGTCACAACAAGTCTACACGCACAAATTATGGGCTTATGGCACAGGAACTATTCATTCACTGCAATAAGGCTGTATCAACTTAACCACAAGCGCAGTGAAATATAAAAACATTTTTAGGAGTTCTCTAATACTCCCTCTGTACCGAAGATGTTTTGGTTTTATTAGATTCAACTTAGACATACACTATGTCTAGATGCATAGTAAAAGCACTCGAAAAGCCAAAACGTCTTATAATTTGGAACGGAGTATTTAAATCAATTTTCAATGGAGATATACACTCCCAAGGTTATTTCTTCTAATATTCAGGGTACTGTGAAACCAATTTTCATCAAGACAAGGGGATAAATGAGGGGAAACAGCACTTCAAACTTAAAACAGCTTTTGTTAAATTATCCATGACAACAATAGTGCTGTAGTTAACTAATACAGCAATAAGTGTGAACAACACAAACAATACTTGCAAAGCAATAATTCAATGTCACTAAAGTACAAACAACTTATTTGAACAGTGAACTGGACAAAAGCTGATTTAACTACCAGGGGCGTGTTACTGAACATTTGGCCATACATTTCAAGAAAAAAGGGAGGTTAGAAAACAAGTCAAACAGACTGTGTTACCACTTAGTAGGACAATAAAATGTGGGTATTAGTGATACTAGAGATATTTGGGATTTAATCAAATCTCAGAACACTGTCGTCCACTAATATTGACAAAGCGGACCACCTACACACAAGCAAATTGAACTCACAAACCACATCACCACATTGTCATTACAAATATATACTCTTTCACATATTCCACCACATCAAAATTTCAAGCAACGAGCACAAGGCCCTGTTGCATGTTAACAGGGTACCCTTTTCTAGTTTAGCTCAACTTATAAAAGAACTACAAAATTCATGTTAAGTTTGGTAACAAATGTAACTTGGGATATCAGTACATCCAGCAAAGTCTAATCATCAAGGGAAGAATCCACCTATATGCATGAAAAGAATGATTGTAATCTATTGCAAACAGAAGAGTTGTATCAAAGTAAGGACAACACATGAAACACATACCATATCAGTACAGGGCAAGCGATTCAATGAAATCAGAAACTGGGGAATTTATCTCAATTTCTGCAAAGAAATAACAAAATTAAATACATTCTTATTTTAAGGTACAATTACATAATAAACTCGTTATAAACAATGACAAAAACAATTTATAGCCCATTGTGTAACAAATCAATGGAGCTCAGCCTCTAGCTGCCTTGCAGGCAACCAAGAATCGAACGCATAGTATTTTACAGAAAGATAAAAACATGTGAACCATCATTCAAGAGGGAACCAGTGATACATATATCAGCATAAATACCTGTACTGTTGTCATTGAGATATTTTGAGAACGAACTTGGATAGTAGGCTGTCATGAAACCAAGGGTGCTCACTGCAGAAAACCTGGCAACAGATTCCAACTTCTTCGATTTTGTGTCAACAGCAAGCACCCAACCCTTGCTGTGCCAAAACATGAGCTTGCGCATCAAGTACATAACGCTGTTAAACTCACACAAAGTTGGGAGGCCCACCGGCATTTTCTTCAAGTTTGGTTTGCCATTGACACATAGCTTATCAGGCAACAGATCAGACCACCCATGAAAATCTTCAGAGGCTGTTACATCCTCACTGCTGACCTCGTGTGCCCTTCCCCACTCCGTCGAATCAAGCTTCCTGCTCCTTGTCACAGCAATCCATTTGTAGACAAGTTCATCCTCATCATCATCATCCTCATCGGCATCATACTCCACCTCAACAAATTTGATCACCTCACCACAGCCATGACATCCCTGAAGAATGCTGAGTCACCTTTATGTTGAAGATTGCCCGGCATCGGTTTAGGCATTGGGATATAGTGAAGCCTGGGGTCATCAGAAAGGATATCGCAGAACATGATGCCTCCCCACAAAGCGGCCCAGCCCAAGAGAACCTTTCAGCGGGATCACCTTGGTTGGTTTGAAGCCTAGAACGTTGAGGTGGTTCTTAGTAACCCATTTAGATGGCTCCACCGGCGCCACCCTCGTTGTCCACGCCCCCGTCCTGGAGGAGAAGACAGTCAAATTGAACATCCCGGAGTCCCAGTAGAGAGAAACCACGGCGAAGTGGTCGGCGCCGCAGCGCACTATCCCGGTGTTGCAGAGGCCCGAGCTGCAGGGCTCGTCGGGATCCGGGATCAGGAGGAGCGAAGGGTGCCTCGGGTGGGCGCGGTAGATGAAGTAGTCGCTGACGCGGCCGCGGTCCAAGCAGACCTCGAAGAGGATGAGGTCGTCCCGGGAGAAGATGACCGCGGGGTTGTGGCTGCTGAACTGGTCGTTCCTGCCGGGGCAGTGCACTCGGAGGTGGGAGGCGGCCGGCGGGTCGGCCGCGAAGAGGAACACCTCGATGGGGTTTCCGTCGCTGGTGCACCCCGCGACCGCGACGGCCGCGTTCTGGCGGTCGGAGATGAAGGCGCGCCTCGCGAGGATGATCCAGTCCGGGTAGCGAGGCCCCAGCTCCGGAAGCTCGGGGGCAAGGTCGCCTTCTCTCTTGGCTTCTTTCATGGCGAAGATCCAGTCGGCGTCTGTCATGGCGATCGGTGATAGACGGAGTTGCAACTGGACGGATCAGCTCGTACACACACAGTGTTTGGAGCCCATCTGATATGGAATTGTTCGGCTTGTTCGGCGGTTGTACTCTTTTCTCGGAAAACGTTTCTCTGTTGATCTCTGTTGTTGTTAGTTATTGTCGTTATAGGATAGGATTTATGCGGGCCAATTTTAAGTTTAACTAGGTCTATAAAAAAATGTAAGTAACATTTGTATCTCTAAATAACTTTAAATTATAAAAATATATTTAACAATTTATCTGATGATAATAACTATACACCACTAATATTAGTATTTTTTTATATACTGACAAACATGTCCATGCGTTGCGATAGGAGAAAAAGTAGTATCCAATATTTTGAGGTGAAACGAGGACATGAATATGATATGGGTCCGTTTGGCACAGCTCTAGCTCTAGCTCTGAGATTTGTGCTGGATCTGTAGTTTGTAGGCTAATTAAAGTGATTTCAATATTTTTATTTAATATATCTAATATAAAATATAAATATAAATAAGTCATGTAACTACACTTAATGTGTCTGCAGCTCTACATCTAGAATTTCGTACGTCTATAGATGACCATCTCTGCCAAACAAGACATATATATATCTATTTATGTTTTACTATTTCTAGAAAAAAAATTAAAGCTATAATTTATTTTATGGTGACCATAACATGATCATATAAGTTAATATTGACAACAATACCACAAACGTCCTATTAAGTCTGTATCGAATTAGAATACAATTTTGATAGATTTTTTCTCCCATTGTAAGGCACAAAAGTATTACTTGTAAATATATATATAGCTTTAATTTTCATACTATTTATGTGTTGATAGAATTAAATATCGAGATACGTGACTTTCTTTGAGGATCCATTAAAATATGTAATTTTAATATTTGATTAGATTTGTCGAGATGGTGAGAGTTAGTTACTGTGTAATTCATAAAAAAAAAGATTGATCTATCTATTAATGATTATGAATGGAGACCTCTCCTAACTTTCCCTACGACAACCTCATCGAGGATTGCACTGGTATATGTATATTAGATAACAAACTACTCAAGATTTTAGTTTACGGTTTGCTTATTTGGACAATCGGTTAATTCAAGTTCTAACTAGAATAATTTTTTTTGGCATTGAAAATTACATAAAGAACTTAGTGTGGGAATATTTATTTATTATAGAAGGGTTGAGAGTTTAAATACGTATAGTATTGCATTTTTTTGATGTTATATATGGAAAAAAAAAAAGAAGATACTCATCATCAGGAAAAACGGAAAAGATATAAACGAAGAAACGGAAAAGATATAAACGAAGAGAACTTTAAGACCCGTCTCAAATAGGGCGAGCGGCCAAGCGGTAAAAAAACTGAAAAGAAAAAATGGACACCGTCCAAAACACGGTGAGCGTTAAAAAAAACAAATAAATTGTCCATCGTGGGTCAGGGCAAGTAGAACCAGGTGATGATTGGGTTGATGCTGGAGACGGACGTGGGGAAAAGCAGTATCCGTTTCGGTTTCGTACTGATCCCGGAGAAGCAGTGTCAGTTGTGCCCAACGGAAAGACTTGAAAATAAGATTTAGTGAAAAGTGTTCTTGGTAGCACTAACCCTGCTGTTTCCTGCTTTTGGAAAGGGACTCTCAAATCTATATCTATATCTATCTATCTATCTACACCTAAAAAATCTCTAGACTAAAAAAAATTATACCAAATACGTATACTATCTGACTGACCAAATACGTACACTATCCGGCCACCGTTCCTCCGCACCACAAATCCAAAGTCATATCAAATACGTATACTATCCAGCCAAATACGTACACTATCCGGCCGCGTCGAGTCTGAAATCTAAAATCGTGCCCAGTTCTACAGAGTACACGTCGGAGCCAATTCTGCACAGTTAGCGACTTCGCATCCGAAACGGTCAGCACTCAGCAGCCTCGTCGGGACGGTCGACAGCCTCACGTTATTTATAATTCCAAAGGCACGTACGGGATGGGCTCGTCAGTTTAATCTCTTCTTTTATTTTCTATCTATCTCTACACCTAAAAATATGTAAGGGTATCATCTGCGCCCCGCCCCGCTCCGTTGATCCCGAGCATGAAATACGAAACTGAACTGTGCATGTCCACGTACAATACGAAGCAAGACGGAACCATACAAATATGCAACACCTCACGCATTGGAAGACTTGTACAACTTGTACATGCTAACATGCAGTACGAAGCGGAGACCGTACCGTGCATGCCCACATGGGATCGACATTATATATCGGCGCAAACTCGTCGGCAGAAAGCGACAAGAACAAGCGGGCATGGAGGCCGGCGTCCAACCCCGCCAGCAGCTTCATCACGCCGCCGCTCATCATCTAGCTAACATGGAGTGCCAGCGCGTCCTCCGCAGACAAATAGGCCCTTCGGGCACTTGCACGGGCGCTTGAGCAGGAGCCAGGAGGAGCGCGTGTTCGGTCGGAAATCTTCCGGTCCGGCCGACCGGACTGTAACCACGCGCCGAACAGCTTTCTCCCGCCTAGATTTTTCGGGAATTCTTCCCGTCCGAGCGGCGTTCCCGCGCGTCGGCATGCGGCTGGCCCACCAATTCCCGCGCGTTCAACCCAGGTAGGAGCGCGTTTAACCCAGGTAGGAGTACATTTCTTTCTTTTCTTTTCTTTATTTTCCTTTTTCTCATATTTCTTTTTTGTTTTCTTACGTTGCTTTTTTATCTTCATTTTATTTTCTATTTCTTTTTTCTTTTACTCTAATTTTTATTCTATTTTTTTGGTGGTCACCCATAGGTTGGTATGTTTATATTTCTTTCTTTTCTTTCTTACATTTCTTTTTCCTTTCTTTCTCATGTGGTTTTTTCTTCTTTTCATTTTCTTAATCTTATTTCCTTTTCTATTTATTTTTTATTTTCTTTTCTATATTTTCTACTATTTCTTTTTTAATTACTATATGAACTATTTTTGTTTTTTAATTTCAAATTTTCATGTCATGTGTTACATAAGATATATAAATCATATTATTTTATTTTATTTTATTTTATATTTTTTACTTTTTTTGTACTTCTTTCTTTTTCCTTTTTTCTTTTGTCTTTATATTTTCTATAGATTTTTTTATTTTCTATTTTTTGATTTTTTATCTTACTTAATTATTTTTTTCTTTCCATCCGAACGCTTGACGGGAACCTTTAATTTGGTTTCATGCCCGAAAATCAACCACGAAAGTCATTTTCTTAATAAGACAAGTTATGGAGCGGTATAGGGAGAAGAAGAAGGACCTACAAATGGTTTTTATTGACTTGAAAAAGGCTTATGATAAAATATCAAGAAATATTATGTGGTAGGCTTTGGACAAACATAAAGTCCCAATGAAGTACGTCGGGCTCATTAAGGACATGTACAACAATGTTGTGACTAGTGTTCGAACAAGTGATGAAGACATGGATGGCTTTCCGATTAGGATATGACTACATCAAAGGTCAGCTTTGAGCCCTTATTTATTTGCCTTAGTGATGGATGATGTCACAAGGGACATACAAGGGAACATCCCTTGATGTATGCTTTTCGTGGATGATGTAGTGCTAATTGATGAAAGCCGGGCAAAAGTGAATCAGAAACTGGAGTTGTAACGGGAGACTTTAGAGTCCAAAGGTTTTAGACTCAGTAGAACTAAAACTGAGTATATGAGATGTGACTTCAGCACTACTACTCGGGTAGAGGAAGATATTAGTTTGAAAGGTCAAATAGTTCCTAAAAAGGATACCTTTCGATATTTAGAATCAATGCTACAAAGAGACGGGGATATTGATGAAGATATTAGCCATAAAATTAAAGCATGGTGGATGAAGTGGCGCCAAGTATCTAGTGTCCTATGTGACAAAAGGGTACCACATAAGCTAAAAGACAAGTTTTATAGGACGTCGATTAGACCTGCTATTGTTGTATGGTGCAGAATGTTGGCCTATGAAAAGACGACATGTTCAACAGATAATAAGTGTCGCGGAAATGTGTATGTTGCATTAGATTTGTGGTCATATAAGAAGGGATCGGGTTCGGAACGATGATATACGTGATAGATTATGGGTAGCACCAATTGAAGAAAAGGTTGTCCAACACCGGTTGAGATGGTTTGAACATATCCAACGGAGACCTTCAGATACACCGGTGCGTAGTGGAATCCTAAGCCAGGATAGTAACGTGAAGAGAGGTAGAGGAAGACCGAAGTTGACTTGGGTAAAGGCAATAAAAGAAGAATTAAAATGATGGAATATACCCAAAGACTTAGCTTTAAATGTGAGTGCTTGAAAAATAGTTATTCACGTGTCTGAACCTTAATGGTTTTTGTTGAGTTTCAACTCTAGTCTACCCTAACTTATTTGGAACTTAAAGTCTTTGTTGTTGTTGTTGTTGTGGTATTTATTTATCTACTGTTTATATATGTTTCGTGGTTTTTGTTATTATTTTTTATTTTTACGGATGTTGTAATACCAATTGCATAACCTGTAACTAAAATACCGTCATCCTAAGCTGAGAACATTTTTTTATGAAGACAGAGCATTGTTTTCTGAATCTAGAATATTGTCTATACTAAGTAAATAAAAGAAAATATTTTGTCTTCACGAGATAAATGTTTGTTCCTAAAATTTCATCTAAATATATTCATGTGGGATCTTGTTTTGAAAGATTTATTGCAAGAAACATCATGGTGTGATTGGAATTTAATTTAGATGCTCGGTTTAACAACTATAGCTTTTTAAGTATCAAAAGTCTTGGTATTAACGCTGATGTCAGCAGCATGTGATGTGCATGTATCAAAATATCTGAAGAAACAGTCCATTTAGGTCAGCTTGTGATCCAATATCAAAACTTCGGGCCCATTTGCAATAAAAGCGTGCAGTCTTCGAGTGCTGGGCCTTGAAAAATATTATTGCCTGTCGATTGCTCCAGTCTGGCCGAACGACGCAGCCTTGTTTCC